TATAACCACGTCCGTAAGAGATCCCATTTTCGTGCACGTGTGTGGGAACCCAGCCCAAGAAACACTTAACGCACTTATCTTAAGTGCGTTCGAATAGTAACGTTGTTTCGATACACAAATTTTTCAAGGCAAGTAATAAATCGACCACCCCTTTTCTATCCACCCCGTTCACAAGGAACTAAGAAACTGACGTCTTAAAAAGCCATTAAAACTGGTATAAGAACCCAAAACCAAATGGGCTCGGATTCATTCATTTTTATTATTTGATGTACAAGCATTCATTTTATTTTTAGTATTCAGTTATATATCAAGTTCAGTAGTCAGTACCTTTTCTAAAACGCTCTTCCGTAGGATAGACGTAAATATTTCCTTCATAGTATTCTTGTCGACACCCTTCGTCACGTCCCTAAATATTTCTACCGTATATCTGCCCCAATGCAGTACCGTTTTAAATACCTGCCTCACGACGCTAGATGAAATTAGTACATATTCTAATGGCTGTATTTTCAATGGTGAAATAAAAGATTTATGTAACTTTCTTTGAGATGCCACCGGGGTCGTTTTGGACGAGGGCCTGACATTTTCTTCAAAATATTATCAATGTTCAAAAAGGAAAAACTTGTATTTCGTGCAAAACTTTTTTATTAATCAATGCAAATCGCTTTCGGCTTATTTGCCATCATCAGTGCTCATTGTCCACAACGTATCCAACAAGTTCCTGGTCATCCTCACTCCCAAAATTATATATTTCGGGATGTTTACAACTTGCTAAATCATAATTTTATTAATATTAGTATTTTCAAATTTAAATTTATCTCTTCATTTTGGTTCAAGTTGTTTAACCGTTTCCACAACAACTTGAACCAAAATGAAGAGATAAATTTAAATTTGAAAATACTAATATTAATAAAATTATGATTTAGCAAGTTGTAAACATCCCGAAATATATAATTTTGGGAGTGAGGATGACCAGGAACTTGTTGGATACGTTGTGGACAATGAGCACTGATGATGGCAAATAAGCCGAAAGCGCTTTGCATTGATTAATAAAAAAGTTTTGCACGAAATACAAGTTTTTCCTTTTTGAATCTAAACTACGTGCACACAGCTGTCAACCTTTTTTGGTTTTTTTATTATCAATGTAACCAATAAACCATATGGTCTTCACCCCGAAAGACAGTTAGGTTAGTCATCTGTTTTCGACAGATAAATTTGAGCATTTCAAGAGAAATTATAAAAATCGAAATATACTGGGTTATATTAAGTTATTTTAATAGAAATTATAAAAATCAATATTAAGAAATATACAGGGTTGTATTAAGTCATTTCAATAGAAATTATAAAAATCAATATTTAAGAAATATACAGGGATGTGCTATCTTGGATAAATTGTACAAACCGAGATGGTAAAATTTAACAGTAAGTTAACCAACTGGTGAATACACTGTTCGTTAGCTCAAGGAGGGACACCTATATGCTAATCCACCTATTCTACTAGGTTTGAAACAAAGTATATGTGAAATCAACATAGTATGGTAACCAATTGGCGAATTGACGCTGTTCGTTACTTCCGTTGGTCATCACCTCTATACTCGTCGAAATATTTACCTAAGAGGGTACACTGTGTTTATCTAGAATAGAATTAAATCAACATCAACACAGTAGTTAACCAACTGGCGAATCGATGCTATTCGTTAACTCCGTTGGTCATCAAGCTAAATAAAATATATCAAATAGCCTTTTTGGGGCTCCGCGAAGAAAATTCTAGTCATAAAAAAAAGTGAAGCAGTTCTATGAGGAAGTTCGCCACAAAAGGGAGGACCTGTTTTTTTTTTTTTTTTTTTTTTTTAGAATTCACCAAGAAAGGATATGATTTTGCTTGGGGGCGTTTTTTTTTATAAAAAAAATGTGTTTAGGGCTCCGTCAAATATTTCGTCATTCAAAAATAATAACATTTCAGAGAGAAAACCCACTACAAACCCAATTAAAAAAAAGCGATATTGGCGTTTGTACAAAGTTTTGAACCGAACTTACAAATAATGATAAAATTATTGTAAAACATTGAACACCCATTTTAAATTAGCACAAGCCGCCATACTTTCGTAAATCAGCCAGACTTAGTTTTAATTACAGTTTATAATTGTATCAATTCATAATATGCTAAATTTCAAGCCTGGAAAAAAAGGGTTACGGATCCGCAAAATTAGTCAAATTTTTTAATCCGAAAATTTTCAGTCAGGCTCACTTTTCGCTATTTAAGATAGCCCAGACTGCTATTTCGATAAACTTTATGTTCTACTTTAGTATATGTAAAATATTTATGACTGAGAAAATAAGTGGACATGTATTGTTTTTTTTTTATTTTTTGATTCAATTCAAAATTTTTGTTTTTGTCAGATAATAGATTATTTTCATATACACTGACTGGGAAAAAAATTAACTGCCTCTTGGACTATTAAGTTTTGTAAGTCAGGATGGTATTATGAAGTAGGTTATAATGAAATTTTATGTAATATGTTATAATGTATAAATGCCATTTAAAATATATACAGGGTGGTCCACCGGTAACGCCTCGGTCTGTATATCCAATACTAAACTTTTTTTAAAAAATCGGTTTTTACGGTGAGATATATATTAGAAAAGGCAACAATTTAAAAATAATTTCAATAATACAGGGTGCTCCATGAAATTGGAATATATCAAAGTTAGGTTTTTTTAATCGGGACACCCTATATTTTATTGAATTTTTGAAATCTATAAAGAAAATTAGTGTAACTTTGTTAAGGGGTTGTTATACCTAGAGTCTATCATTTTTGATAATATTCGAGGATTTTCAAAATTTTGGGGTGTTTAAAAACTGCAAATAAATCCTACATTTCTTAATATTTCAAAGTGATTTTTTTAAGGTACATTAAGCGTCTTCTGGGCTGTAACCTCAAATACTTACTGATCAAAAATATCGTATAGGGTGTTTACGAAATACTATTTATTATACGTAGATTTAAACACTGAAAACTTCGTTATTTTAAATAGAACACCAAATATATTTTAATGTTATTTGAAGTATCTTTCGAAACCCTTTCAAACGATGTAGGTATTCCCTATACCTATCTGTGATAGTTTTACTAACATTGTTACATTTTTTTTTTGAAACACGAATTATAAAATAATACAAGATAATAAATTAATTTAATAGATGTTCAAAATGATGACCGTCTTCTTGAATACACATTTCTTACTCTTTTTAGCATATCCGGCGTAATAGTTGCAAATGCATTCTTAATTCGTTCCTTCATATCTTCTGGCGTGGTTGCTGGGGTATTGTATACAAGACTTTTTATGTAACCCCACAAAAGAAGTCTGGGGGTGTTAAACAGGGTGATCTAGGTGGCCAATGGCATAGGCCTCCTCTTCCTATCCATTTATTAGGAAATTTACGGTCTAAGTAATTTCTCACGTCCCGCGCAAAATGAGAAGGAGCACCATCTAATTGTAGCCACATTTGTTGCCGTACGTTCAATGGTATATCTTCGAGAAGCAGCCAAAAATCTGAACGAAGGAACCTCAAAAAATTATTTCCATTTAGATGACTATTAAAAAAATATGGGCCTATAACTTTCTCTCCAATAATCCCCCATAAACATTTATGCTCCATCTGTTTTGTCGGCCAATAGTTCTAAATAGGTGCCGATTTTCTGTATCATAGTAATGGAAATTATTGCGATTTACTAAGCCATTGTTATGGAAAGTGGATTCGTCTGTAAATAAGACAAAATTGAAAAGTCTCTATTTTCTCCTACCTGTTCTAGCGCCCATAAACTAAAATCTATGCGTCGTTGAAAATCAGTACCATATAAATGTTGATGAAATTGGATATGGTAAGGGTGGAATCGGTGTTTCTTGAGAATTCTCATTACACTGGTTCTAGGTATATCCATTTGCCTCGAAATTTCCCTGGTGCTAATGTGAGGATTCTCCGTTACTGAACCTAATACTAGAAATTCGTTGTCTTCATTATCAACTACGGGTTTACTCACAGTTTGTTTTGAATATGCAACACTGCCTGATGTACGAAAACGTTCTAAAACTCTTTCAAAAGTTCTCTTATCCGGTTGATTTCTGTCTGGATACTTTTGGGCATAAACCCGTGTTGCTAAAAAACAGTTTTCATAACACTCACCTATGGTGAGAATCATATCCACCATTTCTTGCATAGAATATTGCTTCATTTTAATAATAACATTACACAAAACACAAAATAATACCTATTGGAAACAGTTTAAATTAAAATGACATAAATTGACAATCAATGCCCAGACACCTTGATTAACTAAATTTAATGAATTATTTACATAAATTATAAGAACTAGACTATTCTCTAAAACAACAACATACATATAGGTATAGGGAATATACCTATGTATATTGTTTAAAAGGGATTCGAAAGATATTTCTAATAATGTTAAAATATACTGGGTGTTCTATTTAAAATAACGAAGTTTTTGGCGTTTAAATCTACGTAAAATAAATATCTATTTCGTAAACACCCTATACGATATTTTTGATCAGTAAGTATTTGAGGTTACAGCCCAGAAGACGCTTAATGTACCTTAAAAAAATCACTTTGAAATATTAAGAAATGTAGGATATATTTGCAGTTTTTAAACACCCCAAAATTTTGAAAATCCTCGAATATATCAAAAATGATAGACTCTAGGTATAACAACTCCTTAACAAAGTTGCACTAATTTTCTTTGTAGATTTCAAAAATGCAATAAAATATAGGGTGTCCCGATTAAAAAACCTAACTTTGATATATTCCAATTTTCTGGAGCACCCTGTATTATTGAAATTATTTTTAAATAGTTGCCTTTTCTGATATACATCTCACCGTAAAAACCGATTTTTTTTAAAAAAGTTTAGTTTTGGATATCCAGACCGAGGCGTTACCGGTGGACCACCCTGTATATATAGGAAAATATAAATTAAAAACTACTTACACTTCAGAAGTGTCGATAAAATCAGGTTTTTTCTTAGAGAGCGGAGCCTCGCGCAACTTCAGAAGTTCATCCTTGGAATAAGAAATTTTAACGTTTTCTCGTATAACCAATATGGCGGGGTCGGTAAATTCTTCAGTCGGCACGTCAGAAAGACTCATTCCTTCCACTTGTTCATCTCCTGTAATCGAAAAAACAACGATAAGACACTCTATATTTATTTTTTATACTGATTTTTTCATTATGAGAAATGTGTACGTTTACCGAAGATGTGCGATACTTAGATGATTCGCTCACCCATTAGTTTTATGAATCTTGCCTAAATTTGTATTTTATCAAAAACCCAACGACCACTCTGTATAAAAATTTCAAATTCGGCATGGATATTTTCTTCGATATATCAAAAGTAATACCATAGAAACCATAATTAAAATCCAGGTATAACAAAATGTATTTCCGCCTCAAAAACGACACCAGTATATAACAAAATATACATATTGATAAGATATTTCAAAAGAGCGGCAAAACATTGGCTTGTATCTTTTGAAATTCGCGTATTTCGTTTCAGATACCCCAATTTTTTATTTGTCAACTGCAGAAGGCCCAATAAGATTATTGCGAATCACCAAAAGTAATTCAAGAGGTAAATTTAAATCATAATATTTAAACTTTAGAAACTTATAATGGGTAATTTCAATTTCGAATCATCTAAGTTTACCATACCTACAGTAGTTAACATCAGGATTGGAATAAGTCACGTCTTTTATAAAAAAAGTCAAAAATCAATTCCGACTTTGTGAATCAATTCTGATTTTTTTGAAATAATTCAGACTTTTCTTCCAAAAATCTTAAAGCATAGCATGTAAATTTAGCAAAATAAACTGAAACATTAAAACGATTACATATTAGGCAACTTTTTACTTATAGTCCAATTAAATAACGATAAAAAGCCCCTTCGAGCTTACATTAATTTGTAATTGGATGAAACAAAGTGGAACTTGTGTATTTTGATGTGGTCTTTCCGAAAAAAAGAAAAAAAATGATGTAGCTGTTTTTCAATTTTTTTTAAATTAGGAAAAACCGGGTTTTCCGGAATTGTCCATGGTAAAAATGCTAATTATCTGGGCAAGTATCATTCTGATAGTAAAAATAAATGCACCAATCGAAAGAGGAGGCAAAAATAGTTCGGAATTTCATTGCACAGGTAGTTTTAATGGCGAATTTCTCGCCGCCAGAAGTGCTTTTACCAAAAAGTTGTTTTTTCGTTTGTTTGATCAGAATCATGAACATGAAATTTGCGATGAATTTGTGGCGAAATTATAAATGTTCGACATATGTGCCCATGAGAGAAGTTGCGTATTTTTTGTGGGCTCTCAAATAAAATAAGTCCCGCGGCGAAATCTGCCATAATTTTTCGGGAATTCGCATGAAACCGGAAGGCGTACATTTTTTAAATTTTTTCCCATATGATTTTCTCCGGGTTTTTCGAAAACATCTAACAAAAAATATATTTGAAGAAACTAACTGCGCCATCGGAAAGAGCACAAAAAAATATACAAAATGTTAGGAACTTAATCCTAAGATTGAGTGTAAGTTCCAACTTGGTGATAAGCTTGTTTTTTGTTCTCTAACATCTGATTTTCTTCTCGGTTGATGCTCCATCCTCCTTTTTTTGGCATTGTCAATCGCGGCCCTTTTATGCCTATCCCAGGTTTTATAAATAAACTCTTTTCCGTAACGTCGAGCTACGTAATGTTTGCGACACCTCTCATGCAATATAAAACCTGGTTCTAAAGAACTGAAAAAATCATCCCCTCTCTCTTTGCTGACCATCTGCAGACCTTTCAATCCTGTCGGTCTAATTGGGGTAAGTTCACCCTCTGCAAGTTTCTGATGACATAATAAACACAGGCCAGCCATTGCAACCTGGAAACAAAAAAAATTATAGCACTGTGATAGAATTTTCTTAATTTAAGAAAGTACTTACGCTAAAGAAGTACGAAAAACCACGTGTACACAGAGCTTGCTGAACACGGTTATTAAAAATCTATGCCGATGAACACTATCAAGCGATTCAATTTGTAATAATATGACAGTTTCAAGTTTAAACTTGTCGGATAGCGAACGCCGAGACCATGGCTATCCTTGATACGACGTCCGGCGAATTTTGCGGTAATTCTATTTCTTGCACAAAACTCAAGAAACGTCTTATAACAAGTCAGTAAAATACAATTTAATAAATTTTAGGCCTAATAAATTTAGGTATGTAAGAAATTTTAAACTTTAAATCACAAAAAAATCAAATTACAGAAATGCACGAGTTTTGGATCCCGCGGAGCGCGTGTAATGGGACTTTGTCGGGAAAATTCTACAACTTAGAAGAAACATACACACTTTAAACTTTGTATACACATTCAGAAGATATGAGATTTGGGATTGCTCAATTTTCAGACCAAAAAACTGAAAATCGTCAATTTTAGGCAACTTTTCTCAAAAACCGTGTTTTTTGGTCGTCACTCAATGAACAGTGGTCAAAAAAATAGATAAAATATTTTTACAGAATTTTCCGTAATGTAATCGTATTCTAGACATAACAGAGTATTCAAAAAAAAAAGTTTTGAGTCATTGGGTGCATTTTTGGCATTTTTGTGCCACTTCAAACTTTCGAAAAAAAATTTAGTTTTTTTTAGGGAAAAAATTTGTTAAATTGTTTGATATCTTGGCCAATTATAATCCGATTTGGGTAAAATTCACACACGTATAAGATTTCATATTTAAGAGTAAGCTCTGTAAGTGGCATTAAAAAAATTTAAATAGTTTGGCTGTTATAGGCAAACAATGAAATTAGGCTTGCGGTACACTTTGCCCTTCCGCCATATGCCCAATTTTGGGATTTCTCTTGCCCCCTTCTGGGAATCAATAGTCACATCCCTTAAGTTCAAAACGAATTTTTGTTTCTTCAAATATCTCAATGTTTACCAAAGTTATGAAGAATTTAGTGTTTGAACATTTAACAAATTCAATTTTTCGACCTTCGCCGCCTCAAAATACTAAACAAATTTCAATCGTCCATACCGCGAGAACGGTGCATCGGATCAAAATTTCTCAAGAGACATAAAAATTAGCATTTTTTCTAAGCTTTCAAATGTCGTAATCTGCGTTTTAAAAATATTGATTTATTTGCGACATGCGCATGCGCAAAATTGAAAAATTGACAAAATCCAAAATTTCGGCACTTTCGAAAAACTGCTACACTTCGTTTTGCCTTTTTTCGAAAAGATCACCTCAAAATACATAGAATCCATTTTGTTTCATCGAATTACAATTTAATGTAAGCTCAAAACCGGTAATTTAATTCGATTATTATCAAGAATATTTATTAGAAGTTAGTTTTCCGGCTTTTTTCACACCTATAGTCTAGAAAAGAAAGGAGTGCAGTAATTTTGTTTGAAGAACGCAGTACAGGTTCAAGAGCATTTTATTTATACCTCATTGTTCAATGCTTATTTATAGTTAAAATAAAAATTTTAATACATCTGATCGGCCTAATAAGTTTTCGTTTAGATTTAATCATGTTTCCGTGGTTTTTACTGTAATAAACATTTTAGTTTGACAGATAAGTCAGACTTTATTTATTCATAGCCGTATCGTATGTATTTTAATTGATTGGGAATTTGAAATTTTGTATTAGTATATATTATAATTTTACAATTATATAAGAATGGCGAATGCATTAGAAAATATTGCAAGCACAAGTAAGCGTAAACGATCTAGTAGACAAAAATAATTATTTATTTATGGATATTTCATTTTACAAAAAAAAAATGAAATATGTATGAGAAAAAGAAAAAAATATTAATATCAAACAGACATTATAAGCATTAAATATATAATAATAATAATAATAATAATAATAATAATAATAATAATAATAAAAAGAAACAATAAAAAAAATATAAAGGTTGAAAGTGAAAAAAAAAAAAAGCTAAAAATGTGTTTCTAATCTGGCGCTTAAAATAGTTTCATTCTGAGGATCTGAGCATAAATCTGTAGAGTGGAATGGAATGCTAAATAATTCGGATACGCGTGTTCTTCTGTTTATGTTGAAATTCACCAGCCTCAATAAATCTGGACAACAAATTTGACCATTTAGTAACTCATGAAGAAAGCATAGAGGTAATTCTGTTCTACGATGCTCAAGAGAATTCAAGTTAAACTTTAGTGTAATATTGTTATAATTACTACTTCCACTAGAAATACCCATCTTATAAGCAGCAAATTTTAACAATTTTGGCGATGGAGATTCCATAAGATGCAATTACACACATCAAAAAATATAGGGAACAAGAATAAAAATTTTTATAACTTTTTGGAGACACCATATATTACCTTAAAAATTTGCGTGGCTATTGATGATACTAACGTTCGTTTAACACTACCAACAAAAAACTAAATTTTACAAGAACAAAAATTATTTCAGCAATTATAGAAAAAAAAAATCTCAATAACTTGATATGCAAGAAATCTCACAAAACAAAATTCTCGATTGTTTGTGCTCTATCAATAAGCAGTGTAACCTCCCCGTCCATTAATTACAGCTCGGCATTTGTTGGGCATCCTGAAAATGAGATTGTTAATTTCCATTTGGTCTGTAGTATTCCATAGGTCAGAAAGACAATTAAAGAGTTGTTCCCTTGTGCCAAACTGCCTTTGTTGACGAAGAAGTCTTCGTCCCATTGAATCCCACAAATGTTCAATGGGATTAAGGTCTGGTGACTGCGCAGGCCATGGCAAAACATTGATATGCTCAGTTTCTAGAAATTCACACACGAGCCGTGCTGTGTGTGGACGGGCATTGTCGTGCATTAGCTGAAAATTCGGACCAAATTCTGCAGCATATGGAAGCACAACAGGTTCCAAAATACTGTCACGATAACTGGTAGCATTCAAAAAGCCGTCTAATAAAACGAGGTCAGTCCTTTCTCCGACACGCATACCCCTCCACATCATTATTGTATCGCCCTGGTAGCTGTAGACTTCCTGGGCTGCGGCAAGACGTTCCAGATTTCCAGGTCGTCTCCGCACACGAAGTCGACGTGAATCCGGATGAAAACCGAATCGGGAATCGTCTGTAAAAAGTACCGTAGACCATTCTTGATGTCCCCAGCGTTGATGTTCTTGTGCCCATCGGAGTCTTTGTGCGCGATTACCTCTTGTTAACGGGAGAACACGGAGCAGTCTGCGAGCATAAAGGTTGAACTGGTGCAACCTGTTTCTCAGTCTGGCTGCTCACAGCAATATGGTGTGTGCGGTATAACTGATTTGCTAACTGACCTGCTGTGACAGTTCGATCTCGTAGTGCCTGTAATCGAATAAAACGATCATGTAGAGGGTCAGTTGATCTCGTACGACCAGTATGTCGTTCTCTAACATCCCCGGTCTCACGGTATCTTGTCATCAATCGACAAATCACACTAGCTAATGTGTTAAGGACCTCCGCTACTGCTCTATAATTTTGGCCCCCTTCAACCATTCCTACTGCTCGCAATTGTTCGTCGCGGTTTAAATGTCGTCTTTCCATCATGAACAACCAAACTAAACACTAATTCGAATACCAAAAATCTCGTTTTGTCCTTCGTAGAAGCAAAAACCAAAAGAAACTTAATACGCTATTTTTATCGATAAAAGACAAATATATGGGGTGGGTTGGCTCAGTGGTTAGAGTCATGACTTTGAGATCGGAAGGTCTCAGGTTCGAATCCCACCGTTGGCCGGGATTTTTTCATTTAATTTAATTATTTAAAATTAATTCTGATGCCTTGGTAGGATTCCCCACTCGACCATTCACTGTTGGGTTCTAATTAACATTTTTGATCCTAATATCAAATTTATACGCAAGTTCTATTCTGGAGTTCGTTAAAGGTTTTGTAAAAATGACCGTTACTTCATCATCAATATGTTATTTGCGTAATATCCACACTTCAATATTTTAAAACTAATATTTTCACTTATCCACCTTGACTTACAATAAATAACTACTCAAAAAAAATCTCTTAAGTAATGTTTTTAAAAATATAGAAAAAAAACATCGTAAAGCGACAGCAGCCGCAGCCTCCTTACCTAAACCCCGTCTAAATCAGTGGCAATTAAAATTTTAAATTAATAGTTTAATATATAAAATTTTATTATGATTATGCATTTATATCTGATGTGTCCCAACACTTGATTTTTCCACTAGAATTAGATCCCGGTCATAAAAAAAATAATTTTGCAATTTTTATCAAATATCCCTAATACAGTCCATTTTAGAGCCACCATGTATATACATTTTTATCGAAAGAAATTTATTCTCCAATTATAAATGACAGAAATATACCAAAAAGTACAAAAACGACCCCCAATAAAGAATTTCCCCAGTTGGTCCGACTATGCCCAAAATGTATTATAGTTTTTTTGCGCTACGAATGCAATACTGAACCACCGTAGGCCTATTTGTGATAGATTATTTTGTTTAAATAGGCACTACTTTAATGCATTCGAAATAAAATCCATACAAATTTTAAAAGAAACATTTCAAACCATTTTGACTTAAGAAATGCACTTAAAATGGCTACCCGCACCTTGTTTAGGATACATTTTTGAAAAGAAATAGTCATATATTACGATGATGCATAGCGCAGGCCCCCTTCCAAAAATTAAAAGACATTAGGTTGCTGACTAAACAATTAAAACCCCTTTAAAATGCGGTGTCACATGTCTCTTTTCATTTAAAAAAAGATGGGTAGTTATCCCTCCGTAAGGGATTACTTGACGGGCAATGTATGTCGTTACAGCAAAAATTTTAATGTATAATTAAGAATCGAGGTGTCTCGATTTTGTCTTAAAATCATTTATTAGGATGAAAATGAAAATATCCGTTACTTTAGGACTTTTCTATGTAAGCCACTGAAAAATTATGTTTGCAAGTCTATGCAGTGTATGACTGGACTATAAACTATGTGTGGTACAAGTATTAGAAATCAAAAATTAAAAAAAACCGACTTCAAAAACGTGCAGATGCCATCACCACATCTTAACCAAATTTATATGGGACCACCCCTGAGGTACCCCCTTACTAACAAAAGAAGAATCGGTTACGTTCGACTTTAGGGACAAACTGACCAGTTTTACTTTATTTTTTTGATTTAAATGATATTAGGTTTGGAAATACGAAAAAAAAGTATAAATCAATTATATAATTTCAATTAAATACTTTTTGAAAATAAGAAAACGAGTCTTTTATTAAATTTAACCTAAAAATTGAAAATTTTAATATTTGACATTTCTTTTCTGGATAATAAGCGGGGTTGCCAAGATTAATTTATTATTTGTTACTATTTCGGCCGTTACCCGTAATATTTAAAAAACTAAGTAGTCTGGGTATTAACAGTATGATCGGGTAGCGAAGAATTTAGAGTGAACTTTTATGTTGAGTGAGTCAAATAAAATTATTTTGTAACATTGTATTTCTAGAAATTACTCAAAAATGTCATGTGAAATGTCAGTAAGTTATAAAAACTTACAAAGGATTGCTGTTTAATTTTATAAACAATTGTATGAGCATATGAACATATATTATTCTTTGATCTGTGTTAGGGGCCGGAGAGCGATGTTTGATACAGATTCTGGTATTTTATCACAAAATTCTATTATTTTTATTTAAATAAACAAATCATGAAAGTATAATAATTTACGAGTTTACAAATTAATTATATCTTCTTACATATTAAAATACTTGGCAACCCTGTACACATAAGACAAAATATTTGATTAAAAATGTGCAATTTTTGAGATTTTAATATTAAATTTCTCGCTTATTCGTGGATAATCTCCAATTTTTTTTTTTAATTGTCTTGATATATAACTTCTTTACTTTCTAATAGTACAAAAAAAATTTTGAAATTCGTGTGTCTTTTAAGTCGAATGTAACCGAAGAATCATATAAATCGGACAAGGTGGTAAAGCATTATCGCTAAACATACATAAAAAATGAAGAGTTTGAGGATTTTCTCATCGACCCAATTATTAGATTTTGACCAAATTTATATGGGACCACCCCTGAAGTACCCCCTTTCTAACAAAAAAAGAATCATTGAAATCGGACACCGTGTTAAAGAATTATCGCTGAACATACATATTATTGGGACGAATTGAGAACCTCCTCCTTTTTTGAAGTCGGTTAAAAAGGACTCTAGTACCAACCCCCTCCCTTTAAAAAATACCTTCAATTGACACATCTTTCCTAGAAAATTTGATTAAATCTATAATATAACCTACATTTTTATTTCTGCCGTTATACCGAGTTCAAATTAATATCCACCCGACCAATTTCCATACTTACTCCATGATACCCTCTTAACTCTGGGTTTTTGCTGCCTCTTTCTTGCTTTCAAACCAAAACCACCCGTCATCGAGCCCTGTGTAGGACTGGTACGTCCCTTTTGAAGTTTCTTAGCTTTGGCCATGTCGACAATTACACCAAAAAAAAATTCTATAACAATCTTATACAACACGTGGCCGAAAGACTAACTTTTAATATAAAAAAGTTAAAATATAAGCAGGTACGTCAAACAAAATTTACAAATATATATTATAAAATCACAACACAGTTAAAATGATAATTTAACGATAAATTTCGAAATAATGGAAAATTTCACGCGAAAAATAATTCTAAAATAACTTTAGCCATAGAATTAACACTGTAAAATGATTAGTCGCCGACTGAGCTGTGTAGAAATCGAAATAATTGAAAAAAGTCCGATAAAAACTGGTCAACTAGATTCCAATTGTAACCGATTTTGTCGAATCGAAACAAGCAGTGTCTACTTAACACACATTAGTGCATTTATGAAAATTTCTATTCATGTTTAAAAACTCATTTATTAATAAATAAAATTTTGTATCAGATTCTGAAACATATCGAGAAAGTATATAATACATAATTAATTAAAGGGTTGCCAAACACTGCGGCGAAGATGATTCGGAGAAAAAATATTTTTTTTCGTGGAATACACAAAAGACCTTTTTTTTTCCTGAACTTGTTTTTTGCTGTTCATTATCTCCAAATCCACCTGCTGATTCTCAAAAATGTTAGAGCTATGTGAAGCGGCAGCACCCTCATGGATGAATTCTAATGTAAACCCCGAGCCTGAAAAATCGTCAAACCCGACGCCTCAGGGCCAAAATGACGGTGTTGACAATCCTATAATGGGTTCATTTGATCGAAAAAAAAAAGATCAGATAGGTATTATAAATATATTTACATAGTGCAAGTGAAATAATGCTTAATTTTAGGAGGCCTGTTCTCTTTCCGTCGAGTTTTTTTAGTAGTAGAAGATGATATTTTTGTAACAACTTTCAATCTATTTGTTTACAAGTTTAGTTAATGACTTTAGTGACAGTTGTCAAATATACCTGATTATAAGTTACATAAGTTTAAAGTAATCCTTTCGCCAATAAGTGGTGGACATGAACAAGGAACATTATTTGTAGGACCGATATTAGAGAGTTATTGCAAGTTCACTTAAGGTCAGTCACTATTAGTGCCGCTCTTATTTTGACATCTGAGCATGCGCAGGTCACTTACATTCTAGAATGTTAAAATTTCAGGTTTGCCATAAATCTTATCTTAGTATGGAACTTATTTTTCTCTAATTACGTTGTCACTATTAGTGGGTAACGTTATAGAAATTTGCAATAACTCTCTATTTAGAGTACGATATCGGCCTAAATCGGTATCGCCTAATCAAAATATCAATTAAAAAAAATTAAATAAAAAACAATTTAATTATATTTTTATTTAGAAATAAAAAACAGGTCGATGTTTATTTCAAGAGGGACACCTTTCTACAGTATCCTCAACTGTCATGTGTCATTCCTCTCCCAACCTAACCAATTATAATTTAAATTCGAGAGACGCTAAAATGGTGGTTCCCACCTTATCGAGACTGAGGCCCACAAGGGTAAACTCGTAGCGTAGCAAAAACGAGAAATGATTTAACTTGGAACGAAAGACCGAAAACTAATAGTAGTATTAGGACGTTGAATTTGTTGTTTTGTGAAGCATTGGCATTACTTAGGTTAAACCATGTGATGATTTTCACAAGCCTTGATTTTTAAAACCATTCTATATCGCCTTTTGATTAGGGTTTAAAAACTTGTTCGAGCAATTTATCCAATAATAATTGGCCCCTTTACCTCTTAGGCCTGCTCATGTAAAATATTTGGGCTCCTTACTTCGCCTATTTATATTCTATTAATAAAGGACAGAAGGATAAGTAGTGCAACTATGTTAAAAGAAATAAATTGGCTTTCACTTCAGAATTATGTTCAGTACATGACTGATATTTATTTATAAAATAAAAATGACATAAATCCATCGCATCAGATCTATTAGAAAAAATTCAATATAATTCACAATATCACAACTATAATACAAGAAGCCAATCTTTCATGTACGGCAACCAATTACTAAAAGTTCCCAAAATACAATTTTTATTAAAGGTTTAAAAAATTTAATAGACTGCCTACAGAAATTAAAAAAAAAAAAAAACAACAATAAAATGTATTCAAAAGTAACCTCAAACAATACTTGATAAATAAACAGAAAGGATATACTTTCTTGTGATAATACTCTTCAAACCTACCCTTTTTAAGTATTTCCCTTAATTTATTGTTATTTTACCCCTCGTTTTACTTACTACTTACTATGTTTAAATTGTTTGCGACGATAGGTTATAGCAACTTATAGCCACAAAACTATTTTTGTGTTAAAGTAGATCCATAGAGAGCAATGTAATTTACAAAGGCCTTCTTTCAACATACAAATAAATGACAACTTTATAATTAAAATGAAAAACACAAAAAAATACCTCGGTATCATAATTGATCAAAATTTTAAATGGATTGATCACATTACGTCATTAAAATCCCTAGGAAAGAAGATTCATTTTTAAATTTTATGAATTGAGGAAATTTATGACTAGGAGTTTGCTAATTATTATTTACAATTCGCTGGTTAAATATGTAATCCAAAACTGTATAATTAAAATTATCTACAAAAAACCAGCATTATATCCTAACTCTCTTTTATATAATAAAAAAGTGCTTTGTATAAGAACATTATATTATTTGTCTTGCTGTACCTTTATTTATGGAAAGCCTGAATTGAGATACACTACAAATTATTTGCAATAAATATCAAAAGAAGCATACATTTTTAAATAATTTGACATTTAAGAGCCATTCACACATCACAGTTGACATCTTGATACTTGACAGGCACAGCCAAGCATTATTCTGCTTTTTGCCAAATAAAATAGCCGGTTAGTTATTCTATGGGGTTCCGACAGAGAGCCAGTAAATTTAATGAAGGTGTTTTTGTGGCTAGGGGCGAAATAGTAGTACGCTTAAGTTAGCACCACCATAAAAGTCATTTTTAAGAAACTGCTTACATATTTTTCATAAATTGGCAGGCTTGGCGACTAATTTCGAATAAAAATAGCCTTCAAAACGGCTATGGTTGCAAAAATGAAGTTCGCAACCCGCCTTAGAAATTTCACCTTTACTATCAGCAGCTGTTGTTTGACAGGTCGTTAGAGAATGTTTGCAATTTATGGAATGTTGAGAATGTTAGGAATGTTGACGTTAGAAATAATTGGAATTACTAAAATTGTCACATAAGAATTGCATAGGCGGATTTTAAGAAAATTGATATTAAAGTAGTTAGGATGAACCGAAAATTCTGAAAATCAATATTTTAAAACTTTATCGATTCGCTATAAACGTCAGAGGCGTGGTAAATTATCCTGTATAATGTGTTATTATTATTGACAAATTATACTGAAACTGAAATAGTAGTTTGTGCAACAAGAGTGGAAATGGAGTTGTACAGTATATTTTTTCTACAACCCACTAACGAAAATCTATAATATTTTAGGTTATTAAGACAAAATAACTAATTTTAAACTAATTCATGTTTTTTACTAATTCATAAAATAAAATAAAATAAACAAAAGAAAAGTAGTCCCTTGTCCAGATTTGAACCCGGGCTATTCGCATGGAAGGCAAATGCTCTGTCCTCAGCTCCACCGCCACCTTTATGATTTTGGTTTTAATACTCGTAATTAAACTAGCTTCATATAGTTTGATTAAAATTTACTTTTTGTTTCAAATTGTGGCCCAAATAAAAATAAAAATGTTATTATTTATCGATTCTAAGTAAAAATAACTCATTTAGTGTATATTTAATCTCAATACTAAAAAATATACTGACAATTAGTTTGAGAGAATAATTGTCAATTATTTAAAATTTTAAAAATAGTAGTTTGGTATCCAAAATATGAACTGTGATTTAATTTTTTTTGCAGTGTTCTCACTACTCAGAAGAGGTATGAAATATATTTGTTCAGTTGAACGCAATAGCTTACTTTTCCTTTTTTAATCTGTGCGTAGATAAGCTAATATCCCTGTAGGTGTAGAAAAATATGTTTTGTCTACGCCCACATTTCAATGTAGAAAACTAGATAATAACTAGAAATACCTACGCAACGTAAATAAGTAGTTTTTAGTATTTACCCCATAAAAACTGCTATTTGCACCACTTCATACTATATTTCCTTAGTTTATAATGTTTATGCAACATAAATTTATGTTTATAATAATATAAATACAAAATACGTCTTAGAAATAAGGATATCTGCATCTACTTGCCCCTTACTGTTATTATTTTGGGTTGAATAATTTCACTGCTTCACGGCACAACGCTTTCCTCAAATGAATTCAAACAAATGATATGGATGCGAGTCTGAGCTCTAGTAACCGATTCGAACAAGAAATTTTTTGTTTTTATATCACATGCATCTCATAAACAAGCATTTAAAATTGTAATTAAAAAATTGAATTGTACCTATAAATGTAATTGTAATTGGAAAAGTAATTGTACTTATGACAAGTAATTGTATTTAGACAATTTAAATAATATAAATTAATATAATTACAAAGTACAATTCCTCCATAGATTTTGCTGCAATTACAATTTCAAATTACTTTGAGAGAGTGAGAGAGAAAAGTACTTAAATGCAATTAAAAATTACATAAAAAGGTAATTGTAATTATTAATTACTTTTTAACTAGGAATTACCCAGCTCTGATATCTACACAGATCGTGGATCGTCTAATTTGGTGTACAACATCATCACAGGTGATGAAACATGGGTATACAGCTATGATCCCGAAAAAAACCGGCCAAGTGCGAGTCAGATTCACGCATCTAGTAGGAGAGTCCCCTTTAATTTTTAATTTATTTTTATTATTTATGTTATAGGTCAACAGACAAACACATTCTATGAAAATTTCAACTGTCTACTTATTACGGAGCCTTTATGTTAATAAACAATTCCTTTCAGAAAGGTGATTTCCCATCAAAACTAAAATCTGCAGTGGTGAGACCTATTCTAATAAAAAGGAGATCCATTCCTTATGGAAAACTATAGACCTATAAGTTTGCTAACCAGCTTCTCAAACATTTTTGAAATTGCAATGAGTAAACGTCTTACTAAGTTTCTTGCTACGAATGGAATTATTACCTGTGCTCAACATGGATTCCAAAGAGGAAAATCTACAACTACAGCAATTTTTTCCTTTGTAGAACGCATTCTACATCAGCTAGATAATGGCTGTATTGTGCATGGTGTATTTCTAGACTTGTCAAAAGCCTTT